TCCCACCCCTTGTCCCCCTCTCCCATGGGGTCCCCAGGCCTGTACCTCCACAGGGTCTCGGCTCCGATATCCTCCTCGGCGCCACCCAACTTTCCCCAGATCTGCTGGATCAGCTTCTTGTCCTCGGCGGTCAGCATGGTGGCGGCTGGAAGAGTGGGCAGGGGTTGGTGGCAACAGCACCCGCAGGGACGCCTCTTATAGCTGCTGGTACCTCCACCCAGCCTTATCTTATCACACTGAGGGGCGAGGGGATGGCCGGGCCCTGGGAGCGGCTGCGGCGCTGCCTTGGGGGCCCCGCATAGCTCGGGGGGGCCCTGCCCTAAGGAGGCTCCTGGAGGGCCCAGCTGCCTGTTCTGCCCCACTGCATCAGCCCAACACCAGAATGGGGCAGGGGGCAGCACCTTACCAGGCTGGTACCTTACCCCTGGGCATGCCCCATGGGTACTGCAGCCTTGTCCACCCTGGCTGGCATGTCCTCCAACCTCCTGTTGTGATCTGTCATTCCCCACGGATGGGCCAGGGTCCTCCTGGCTCTGAGGGTGTTGAGGTAGGTCCCACAAGTGTCTCATGTCCCCTCCATACTTTGGTACCCTTCTCTGCCCCAAGAGCCCCAGGGCCTCTGAGTAGGAGCCATGAATAAGCCCTTCCAGAAAAACCCAGACAGGGAACAGCCTCCCCTTTGGCTTCATAGTCTTCCCAAAGTCCATCCTGTGATGCTTGTCAGTTCTGGACTCCTTCCCTTCTTCCCACCCCAAAGTGTGCTCCTGCCTCTTCCCATAAATGCTGGGAAATCCCACAGGGCACATGGTGGCTGATCATACAGTAGCAGAATTTTATAATAATAGAATTATTAATGTTGGAAAAGGTGTCTGGAATCATTGAGCCAAATCATTCCCCCAGTGCTGCAAAGGCCACCACTAAATCAGGTCCCCAGGAGCCACATCTACACATCTGCTAAATCCCTCCAGGGACAGGCACTTCACCACTGCCCTGTACAGATTGTGCCAGTGCCTGACAATGCTTTCAGTGAAGAAATTTTTCCTAATATCCAAGCTAAGGCTCTCCTGGCACAACTTGAGGCCATCTCCTCTGACTCTCACATCCTTTTCTCAGCCTCTGCAGGAAGGAGTTGGTGCAAACACGGGGTAAGGTACACACCAGATGCTGCCCTAGCACGGAAGACATGGATTTAAACTTACAGGTTACCCGACATTCATGGATGCAGAATGCCTTAAAAGCTGTTGTGGTGACATGTTTAGAGCCATTTGATGGCCTGAGAGCTTCCACATCACCCTTCTCCCTCTTGTCCAAACACAGTCCCTAAATTCCATGATGAGATGAGGACTGCCACTTGCAGTGCTGGCTCAGGCTGGCCATCAGAGCAGCTGAAGGCTTTGCACACAGTTTCATGCCAGAAGTCTCTGAGACAGGAGCTGACATGGTGCTGTGCTTCAGGTTTTTGGTCAAACTGGCCCCAATAACAGGCTGATGTTCCAGATTTTGTTGAGCAGTGTTTGCACAGCATCAAGACTGCCTCTGCTTCTCACTCTGCCCCCCACCCAGGGAATAGATTTTGAGGTGCTGGGAGAGAACACAGACAGGCAGATAGGCTAATCAGAGGTATTTCATACCATATAACACCATTCTCAGCAATCAAAGGGAAAATAAGGGGTTTGAGGGAGTTTTAGGGCGGTTCTCCATGGTTTTTGCTCATGAACTGGCTGAACATCAGCCTACCCATGGCATATGGTGAGTGATTGTCTTTGCATCCCCTGTTTTGTTTTCTTCCCTGTGCTTCCACCTAGTCTTCACTTACTAAACAATTATTTCTGTTTATTTGTTTGATCTCAACTCCCCAAATTTTTCTTGCCTTTATCCTCCTTTGCCCTTCACCTCATCCCATTGCAGGGAGGGGGGGAGGTGAGTGGGCAGCTGGGGTGCGGTGGCTGCACAGTGGAGTTAACCCAAAGAAGAAACACGTCAGATACCACATCCATACCCCATGGAGAGAGGCACAAGAGGACAATACCCTGCATTGCAGTGAAGGTTTGGTTCCCAACAGGCTGGGATGAGATTTGGATAAGTCAGGCAAAAACCTGGGTCCGTTCAGTGTCCTAGCAGGGTAAAAGACTCTTTCCTGGTCAGCCTGGAAAGAGACTGTGGTGGATATACCTTGGTGAGCAGCTGCTGTCACAGGGCTCCAGCCCATTCTGTTCAATGCTATGTTGCTCCCACTGAATGTTATGTTATCCCCACTGAACTGGCATACGAATTAGTATGAGTTCATTAGTATATGAATTACTATGTGAGTTTATAAAGTCTAATATTTCCCCCTCCATATTTTGTAGACATTTCTAAACACCCCTGCCTGAACAGTCAGGTGTGGGCAGAACACATTGAGATGAAAGCACAGAGACCATAGCTCACATTTGAATTATTTATTGGGTTTTGAAGATGACTGAGCTCCTGCAGCAGGGTTTTAAAGAGCTGCTCAGGAAGAGGTGATACACCAGAGCCTGTGGCAGCAGGGCTGGGCTGTGGATGGGCATCCCTCACCCTCTTTTGAGGTCATTTATCTGTACTTCTCTGTCAGAACAGAGGAAACACTGGCCAGGAACTTGTCCCACGCAGCATGAACTTCTGGGGTGAAGTCACTGGGATAGCGGGCAGCCACGGAGCACAGGATACAGTGGGAAAGCAGCTGGAAGGGAAAGCAGCATGAAATCCATCACAATGAGCACCAGGTATCAGTGTAGGGGTCTGCAGTGGGCCTTGGGCCCAGCATGCTCGGGGGTGACAGCTACGTGTCCCAAGCAGGCAGTGCTGCTGCCTGAGATGGGAGTGAAGAAGCACAGTTGTCTTTTGTACAGGGCAAAAGGCACTGCTTGATCCCACTCCCTCTTCCATGTGCCCCTTCCTTCCTCAAGTGCAACAAAGTGGGACTGTTTATAATTTATTAAAACTTTGTTCAAGACAGGTGATGTAGCTTGATGTGTGAGGCAGATTCATGAATTACAGCAAAAACAGCAGAGATTTGAGTCTGTCTAACACAAACCACAGGAGCCCCCCCGAGTAGTTCTTTGCCTGCACTGGACCAAAACTTTGATTAAAAGACCCAATCTCAGGTTAAAAATCATATGAGAAACAGGCTGAGCAGCAGTCAGGGATCAAGCTGCCATTAGCCCACATGACCTGTGGTCTCTAATTTTGTGATGGCAGTTTCCACCCCGGAAAGTCTCTGTGCTCACTCACCTTGAAGTTCACAGGGTCCACCCTGAGGATGTAGGCATGCAGCTCGCTGAGCTTGGCCAAAGCCCCTCGGATGTTATCAATGTGCTTCACAGCTTCCCCGACGGCGTTCATGACCTTGGAGCCGTGGCCACGGAGCTGAGCTGAGCCTTGGCTCAGATCGAAGTGAGGGAAGTAGGTTTTTGTCTGGGGGTGGCTGAAGAAAAGCCTGGAGGAGAACATGAGGAAGAGGGTGAGCAGTAGAAATGGTGTGAGGTGGTGAAACCTCAGAACAAGTGCAGTGTAAACCTTCTGCAACATGTGCAGATTAGACAGCAGGTTTATCTGTAGGTACTAGAGAAGAATTAAAAATTATTTAAAACTTAATGTAGTTTTAGGTTTGGTTTTGTTTGGTTTTGTTTTTAATAAATAAAACCCCCAACTTGTCACCAAATTTCCTGTATTATATTATAGCCAAGTTTCCAGGACCTTCAAACTGAAATGAACAAACCAGAATTGATATGAATGGTACTCAAACTCCTGAAAGGAGGATCACAATACTTTATGCTGAGCTGTAAACAGCATTTAAATCACTTTGAATAACAAGAATTTCTGGTAATTTCCAGACCCTTTTATGCCAGCTTGCTTAGTTGGTATGGAGTTTGAATTACTGTGCCATGCTTCATGCAGGGGGTCCAGCTGTCTTGTTTCCTAACAATTTGTTACTCACCAACTGGAACAATGAAACGTGAGCATCCAGTGAATTTAGTGGATATCTATTTTCTAAATGCATAAAAACTGTAAGAGAAAGTGCATCACTTGTACAATAAACCACTTCAAGTTTACCCCCTAACAGGGATAATGGTATTTAGGACACTGAGTATGAATGACTTTGAATTCCTCGCCAGTGCTTCTGGCAATGAATTCTTCTGTATGGCTATAAGGAGAAAAAAATCCTATTAAATGGTTTAAAAAAAAATGGTTTACTGCTAGATTTTGAAGCATTTAGCAGCAGAGATATAACTCCTGAAGATTACATATCAAACAGCACAACTCTTCATCAAGTCTTCCTGGTCCCAGCCTGCTCTCGCTCACCCAAATTCTACATGAGACGCATCCCAATAGCAAAGCCCTCTTTGGAGGCCTGCTGGGGCCTTACCTCTCCAGTGATTCTGCCCCAATGGCATCAGCTTGGGTGGCCACCTTGGCCCAGATGGTAACCACAGCGGCTTTCTCAGCTTGGGTCAGCGTCATTGTGCAGGAGGTGCTGGCTCTGTCCCCTTGCAGTGACCGCTCAGAGAGGTTTGGACTCACCACCCTGGCAGCCCTGGTTATAAAGGGGAAGGGGGGAGCAGACCTTGGTGCCTGTCCACACTCATTGGTCACTCCAGAGGGCCGCTCATGGAGTGGGGGATGCTTATCTCCCGAGAAGCAATGGCTACTTTGGCAAGGGTCAGCACACTGCCCTCCTTGCCTGCCAGCCTTATCAGCTTCTCGCTTCTTAACCTAACGGCTGTGTGGTCCAAAGAAATTGTCTGGACACATACTGATACATGAACAGAGAGAAAATGCTGCAAAATTCCACTGATGAAGCACTAAGCCACATCTTTAAGCTGAGGAGCATGTGGACTCCAGCATACTAAGGAGCTTGGAGAGGAATCTGCATTTCCTCCCTTGGTTCACAGATGTGAACACAAGGCTCTGGGCCTTTCTGACCCAGCCACTTCCAATATATGTGGCTGCACCATGTGCAATATTTCACATAAAATGCTTTGTAGGTAGTGGTAGGACTGGCTGGGAGATCTGTAGTGTAGTTCAGAGGAGAAATGAAATCCTGATTTTTTTATAAAGTAAGTTCAGATTTTGCCATTTCCTTCAGGACTTAAATTTTCCAGCCTCTTGCAAAGAATTAGGGACTCACTTTACAATTGCTGCGTGTAACAGTACTGATAGGAAGGATTACTTTGGATACAGGAATAGAGTCTGTGAAACTGAGTATGGTGCTAGAAAAATGTGTGTGTGAGAAAGCCCAGTCAGATTTCTTTTTTGTAATTCTCAGACTGCACACCTTTGATTTCTAACTGTGTGATCTTATTGTTAACTGTCCCCTACACTGTAAAATAGCCCTCAGCACTCCAGTTAGTGCTGGCTGTGTTGTGCTATGTGCTGGCCATGCACAGGAGCTCCTGGTCCCACAACAGATGGCAGGTAAGGACCAAACAAGCAAAATGAAGACCAGCACAGGTCTGTAATCACAGATAAGTGGGCAAAGTGTCAAAGGAATACCCTACTGGAGACAGTTGCTGCAGAACCTCTGAGAGTAAATACCCTGCCAGCACATAAAGCAGAGGTAAATCTGTTTGCCATGCTGATAAACTCGACATCACCACTGAGAGCTGGCAGCTGTGCACAGAGCACTGGCTGGTACAGCCAGAGGGGTCAGATAATGTTCTCTGCCCAAGCAGCCCTGCACACTTGTGTGTCTCAGCCAGAGATGTCTGCATCTGACAGCAGCACTACCCACTGCCACAGAGGGTGTTCCCCAGCCAAGCTCTTGCTGCTGAAGGGAAATCCCTTATAGGGATGAAATGATCCTTGGGTCATGTCCAGCCTATGGATACCTGTACCGAAGCACAGGTGTCACACAGGAGTGTGCACTGGCCTTGGAGCCCCTGAGGAGCCACAGGGAGCTGTGCTGCTGCAAAGGCACTGGGTTTGGGGTGGCACCCGTATGTGTGTGTGTGTATGGCAGGGTTCTCCTCTGTGCTGTCACACAGGGATAAGTCTCTCCTCTCTGGGCAGACTCCACAGCCTGGAGGAGTTGATCCATACACTACAAAGAGACACAAAGAGACTTTCCTGGGGCTGTGCCTCTGCCACTGCATCCTGGGCTCAGGTGGGAATGAACCAGTGGTGGGGTCAGAAGCAGGGATGGGGTCAGACAGCAACTTCTGGATCCTCTGGTGTCCCCACTTTGCTGGGGCAAGTGGCACTTGCAGAAGGGCTCCGACCCACCCCTTGTACTCTGCACTGGGCTCTGGTTTAAGCTTCTCTGCATGCCATCTGTCACACAAATTAAAATAAACCTTGGGCTTTCCCAAAAGGCAGGCACAAAGCACTTGGGGCCTCTGAGTCTGGCTGGGTTTGGGGATCCTGAATTATCATATCCTCTGTGGAGGCCAACAACTCCTCTGGAATTTAGTTTCAGATTGTGTTCAGTGCCACAGCTCCTCCTCAGTCCTTCTGACCGTGGGCTGGGTAGTTCATTCACTTTAAGAGGGGATATAAAAGCAGACTCACCTGAGACCCAAGGAGGACAATTGCTTTACCATAGGGAATATTATCAGAGGGCTCTTTGTATACCTTCCCTCTGATAGTGCCACACACATCCCCTGAAAACTCAGAGCTCACTCTGGCTACACAGATGCTGAGCAGTGCAGTCCCCAGTTCAAAGTGCCACTGACAGCATAGGCAGAGCCAGGGCATGGACAACGTGGTATTCAGTTCATACAACTTAAATGGATGGCAGTACCAAGAGAGGCTGTGTTCATCATTCCTTGCTACACACATTTTCAAAACTTGCAGTTTTCCCATTGAAAATTTACTTTGAAAATATAGATGCTGCTGTGAAATATCTATTTACAGAACGTTTTTGTCTCCTCCCCAAAGTGCTGCCTCTTACCTGACGTGTTGCATGGCAGTGCTCCAAGCTCTCCTCAGTGAGAGTGCTTTTAATCAGGGGTTACTCAACCAAGCTGTGACCCAGATAAACACAGGGATAAGGCACAGACCATCAGCACTCCTTCCTATTCTGTGTAACCTGGGCATTCCTCCTCTGTGACTGCAGGATTAAGATTTGTGTGTACACAGAGGGATGTCTGCACGGGAGGATTCATCATCACTGAAATCATGATGGAATTTTAATTCCTTTTCTGAGAGTTACTCCTGCACTATCACAGAAACCAGAGCAGCCAAAAGGTGACGGTGCTGGAAGGACTTCATTGCTCACTCAGGATCAGGGCTGTGCTGGGGATTGTTGTGGGAACTCCTCAGGAACAAGTTTGGTGGCAGAAGTCTGATCCTCAACACAATGTGACGTGGAAAATGACTGCCTCCAGCTTTGCATGAACCTCTGAGCCAAATTCCTCATCCCAGGGCTTCAGCTACCCACGGGGTGGTGAGACAAGGGTGTCCTGGCCTCAGGAATGCAAAGAGCTGGACTCAACATGATTGCTGCTGTTCCTGTGTCACAGGGCCAGCGGTGAAGACATGTCCTCTGGGAAACCCCACCAAGCCTGTCTTTCTCTCTTGCTGCTGCTTCTCAAGATGATCCACACCTCCACTGCAGAATATCCATGGGCAGGTCACGAATCTTTGTCAGGAAATCACCAAAGGGGATTATTTTTTTTAAAAAAAAATAATGTAGGTATTTTTTAATCCAAAATCTGTTCCAAAAGCCAGCTACCAGGGTTTCTCATTTGAAACAGCAGAAGCAGGCAACAGACCTGTTAGCTAATTGTAAAGGTGGGACTCCAATTTCCAACAGCCCTGATTGTAAATCAGATTGAATGGCATCACTGTGAGATCAGGGATAACTTTCCCCATGGGCCTGTATTATCCACAGGAATTGCCCTGCCCTTAAGTAGAATTCTGTGCATAAGGGGGCACATACATCTGCTTTAACTCCAAAATATTTGAGGCATATTAAATTTTTAAAGTATGAAAAGTGGAGTCTAAATCTTGGCTTCACTGTTTAATTTCCTACTAGGGCTTGAAGAACTTGCAATGATTGCTTTAAACGACAAGGCAAACTACAGCTAAATGTCCAAGAGCTGGGAATGACAGATAGGCCTATAATTTATTATTTAAGAAAGTAAAATTATATTTTGAGGCAGACACAGTGAAATTTTAACGTGACAGCCCAGTGCTGGTGTACCAGGAATGCTCTGCTGTGATAACATGACTGGTCTTTAATCATCCCAGGACAACTCTCTCCCCTCAGCATCACCTTCTCTTGCTCAATAATTATCGCTGGCCTTGTGCAGAATGGCCCTGCAGATTACACCCTGCTGGGGCTGCTCATCTCCCTCTTCAGCCACCCACCTCTATCCCGTGTCCCTGGGGGGACTGCAGAGCAAAACCCAGAGTGGGGATATCTCAGAGTGCCCAAGCATCTGAATAGTGCAGTGAAATACAGAAGGATTTGCATAAAACCCCAGGGCATCCTCAAATATAATTACTGATAACTTCTAATCTCAGTTAAACAAAAAAAATACAAAGGCACCAAGACTGCTGCCAGGGGAATAATGTCACCCTTCCTAATCCAGAGGCAGGAGTAAAAGCACAGGAACCACAGGCAGGGTGTACTGAACTGTGAACATGAGCAACAAGCCCAGCCTTTCCATGAGCACGGGGAGCCCACAGGTCTGATTTCCACAGCTGCAGCCACCCTGGTATTACAGAATTGTTAAGGCTGGAAAAGCTCCCTGCAATCAGCTAGTCCAACCATTAAACCAGCACTGCCAAGCCCACCACTAAACCATGTCCCAAAGTGCCACATCCACATGTTTATTGAGTATTTCCAGGGATTACGATTCTCCCACTGCCCTGGGCAGTTGCAGTGCCTGTCCACTCTTTCCATGAGGATGATAACCTCTGGGGGTCTGGGCTGGGGGAGATGATGAGCCCTCGCTGCTCTTTGCTACCAGCTCTCAGGAAAGTTCTGGAGTTAATGACTAAGCTGTCTGGAAGCCCACAAATGACTCAAAGTGGCCAACTAACAGCAGTGGGCAGTCCAGGATCCCTGTGGAGGGGTCCAGGGCTGGGGTCACCACGCACTGTCTGGGTACCAGGCTGAAATGGGGGTGCTGGGCCATGCTGGGGACACTGGGCTGAGCTGGAAGGTGCTGCTTGCAGGCACGTGAAGCACTGGAGTAAACTGGGAGTAAACTGGGAGTGTGTGGAACAGGGAGTGCTGTTGGGACACTGGGATGATTGAGAGAAAGTAGGTGTCAGGTGCTGATCTGAACCGAGGCCCTGGGCTGTACTGGGGATGGGGCTGTGTGTGAAGCGGGGTCTGAACTGGGAGCACTGGGCAGTACTGGGAACAGGGCTGTGGGTGAGGTGCTGGTGTGAACTGGGAGCACTGGGCTGTACTGGGAATGAGCTGTGGGGGCATGAATTAATGGTCGGAACTAGGGGCACCTGCCTATATTGGGGATGGGGCTGTGTGTGAGGTGCTGTTCAGAACTGGGGGCACCGGGCTGTACTGGGGATAGCGCTATGGGGTACGAGGTGCTGGTCAGAACTGGGGGCACTGGGCTGCACTGGGCACGGGCCGTGGGGTCGAGGGGCAGGGCCACACCGGGCAGCGGCCCC